AATCAGTAATTATGTCCCCACTGGATGCAACAAATGCCTCGTTTGTAATGGGTTTTATTGTTTTTGTCTCATCGCGCCGGGACATGGCATCACAATATGGTAAGGGGCGTAACATTTCCGTCACATGCTTGAGGTATTCGGCCAATCACAACGCACTGGATAGCTGGCCAATCAGAGCACACCTCGCTTTTCAGACCGATGAGCTTTGTAAAAATCAACGCGTTTCAGAAAGGCGGGGCATAGAGGAGCAACATTAATGTACAGTATGTGGAAAATAATGTGTTTTTTGAACATTAAACCGCATAAACGCATTGCATTACACCAAATACACAAAATAATGTTCTTTTTAGCAACGTCATATGACCCTTTTAACAGTTTGAGTTGCACATTTTAGTGCAGATTGTTTTATGAATCACACAAATGTCACAAAAAATGCTGCTTTGCCAAGAGGCTATTGTTGAAGGATGAGACAAACTATATCTAATATAGTTTGTCTACTAATATATCACAAACTATATTAGACCTGAAAGCAAACCCGCAGCTCACAGTAAAGTGCTGTTGCTCATTTCACATGTGATGAGGGTGTTTATTCCACAGATCTAACAAGATAATTCACCCAAAATTGAACATACTGTCATCATTTACTCGCCCTCATGTCGTTCCAAGCATGTATGACTGACTTTCTTCTGCGGAACATAAGAAAACATATTTAGAGATTTTTTTTATATATATTTTTTAATTCAGTGCAAGTCACTAGGCACCAAAACTGTTTTGTTACCAGCATTCTTCAAAATATTTTATTTTTTTCAAAATTGGCTTTTTTAATTCTGAGGGTCAGAGAGAGGGCGCAAAATATTCATCAAAATCCAATATTATGAGTGGACCTCAGAGGCAAAAAAATGATGAAAACACGATGCTTTGAAAAATATAATATGACCCTTTAACACTTACATCCAACATCTAATCAATAAGCTGTTCTGGCACTCTATCATTGTGTGTGTGTGTGTGTGTGTGTGTGTG